GGGTGGGTTCCTGCCAGTTCTAACCTCTTCTATTCTATTCTGTAGGTTCCACAAATCTACAGTGCTGTTTAGAACCGGTTCCAGCTCCCTTCCCCGCCGTCTGCACATCATCAAGATGAAGAGCGAGAGGAGGAATTCTGGGAGTTGAAGTCCACAAGTCTTAAAGCTGTCAAGTTTGAACACCCCTGGGGTTTTTTTTTCTAAAGGGTTAGGGGTGCAAGGGTCTTGTAACTTGACAGCTTTTAGACTTGCATGCTTTAAATGCCAGAATTTCTGAGCCAACATTTTGGTTGTTAAGCAAGAGCGTAGTTAAGTGAATTTCACCACATTTTACAAGTTGGCCATGCCCACCCAGTCATATGGCTGGCAATCTACTCCCACAAAGCAGGCCACACCTACAGAAGAGGTTCTAAAAAAATTTGGAACCCGCCACTGACGCACATCTAAATTATATTAAAGTAACCAAAATACCTTTATAATCCCCAAGGCATGTCACAACTTTTGAGTACCCCTAATGTTTGGAAATTGAAAGTTGAAAAATTTGACACAACTTAATCCTTCAAAGTCCTTTCCAACTCTGTTATTCTGTTATTCTACATTGTAACTTAGGTTGGGAGTGGCTTATTGACCCATAGTCACTGCTTAAGAATTTTCATGAGTGTGGATAGACTTCAACGTAGATCTCCTTAGTCCTAGTCCAGGGCCTTAATGGAACTAATTCATCCTTCATTCAGTTATCAAATTTATATAGCTGCTAATCTCACAAATTTCATACTGGACAGAGTACAAAAACAAAACAAAACCTGTAGAAAACAAACATCAAAACATTCCATGATAAAAAAATATATTATTTATTTAAAAGCCTAAAAGACAGCATCTTGTAGCCATCTCAGCAATTCTCCATTTCCTTCCATGCTCAGTGACATGTTTTGAGGGGCTTCCGGGAAAAATGCCAAGAATGAGTTCACTTTAGTCTCTAAAAGAATCTAATGCTAATGATCTAATACAAATACCAATGCCTGAACCAGATTTTTCAAGAAAAATATAGGGCAAACTGTGATAAATAGAGGTAATGAGTGCTGAAATTATAAGTCAAATTAATGAACTAAAAATAAATCTTTAGGCTCACCCAAGAGTTTTTGAAGAAGTTAGATATGAAATTGTTCATCTTTTTACTAAAATATGAATCTTCCCTTTAATCTCGGCATTCAACCCTGAAAAAGGAAAGCAGCCATTGAGATCACATTTTTTTAAAAATGGATTTAGGGGCAATGTAAGAAACTTAACATCTGGAGAAAACTGCTGATATTATTAATGTTATTAATATTATTAATTAATAATTGTATTATTAAAGATAAAATAATGATATAACTCAGGGGTGTCAAACTTGATTTCATTGAGGGACGCATCAGGGTTGCTTGAACATTGGGGGACGAGGAGGACAAGTGGGCGTGGCTGGAATGGGCATGGCAAGGGCGAGGGTGGGCATGGTCAGCTCAACATCACTCGTGTTGGGGGCATCTGTTGTGGCCTGGGTTTTCAGCTGCCGTAGCCTCCTGCAGCCCTCTGCGTGAAAATGTAGCTCCGTTTTCACTGGCAGTGGCACTGTGGGCTGGTCCTTCACTGTTTCCAGAGTGGCCCTGCCAACCAGATCTAAGCACCCCGCAAGCCGGCTCCGGCTCCTGGGCCTTGAGTTTGACACCTCTGATATAACTAGAAGAAGGAGCCTTGTTGAAAAGAAATTAACATAGCTTCCATAAAAGTAAGTCAAGTGTCACTTCCCTTTTAAATTTAAAGGAATCAACAAGTACATAGACAAGAATAACTAACATGTATTTTCTACTTAGTCTTTCAAGGCTCCTTTGACAAAGGATTCCAGAGGAAACTGGCAGCCAATTAAAAGAAATTGGCTGCTGCTGCACAGCTGCTGGCTCACATTTAAGTGATCATCCACTAGGACTCCAAGGTCCCCCCTCACAGTTACTGTTTTTGAGCCAGGTTTCACCTAATCTGTACTTACACCTTTGGCCATTTACGGAATCTGATTGATCGATTGATTGAGCAAGTAAAGAAGAATAAATGGACAATTCTCACACTGGTAAGGTGTGTGTAACATGAGGCCCTTTATTGTTGGTACTATTCTTTTTAATCTGCCTATAAATTATTGCAGTTGAGCAATAAGGCTGCTTTGCTGATGAAACCAAACTGCTTAAGGTGGTAAAATAAAAAATGGATTGTTAAGGATCCTGCCAATGTGATGAATTAACTTCAAAATGGCAAGGGCAGTTCACTGTAAATAAGTATACAGTGACATATGTTAGAATAAATAAAATCCATATTTCATTAATGAGACCTGAGCTGGTAATTGTTGGCCAGGGAAGAGATCTTTGACTCATGGCAGGCAATTCAATGAAAAAGCCAACCCACTGTGCAGCTCCTGTAAAACACACACACACACACATACACAACCCATAAAAGAACACAATTCCGTGTTCAATTGGAATTGAGAATAGAACTTTCAATATAATAATGTTCTAATACATTTATGTGTCAAGTACACGCTTGAAGAATTGTTCAAATTCGCAATCCAAAATGATGTTATAGAATTTGAAAAGCTGCAAAAAAACGACAACCAAATTGATTAACAGAGCAAAGCAGCTCCATTACAAGAAAAGACTACACAGCAATCACCAGCCAGGACTGTTTGGCCTTGAATCAAGGAAATAACCATGAGAGTGAGGGGAGACAAGTAGGCAGGATGCTGAGTTTTTCCTCCTCTCACAATATAATAATTCAAAACCAGCTTCTAAATTAAAAGCAGGGAAACATGGGGGCAGCAAACTACATTGTTACACAGTGCATAGTTAAATTCTGGGATTCATTGCCGGCACTTGTAGTAATAGCAAGGAGTTTAGATGGGACGGCTCAGGTTCGTAAGATTAGATAATCAGTGACGACTAATCCTGATGACTATTTATTACCTTTTGAATCACAGCTTGCTGTAATACCAAATGCTGGGAAGTGATAGCGGAGAGGGGTAATTTATTTATTTACCAAATATCTAAGGTCATCAGACCCCATAATGATTCTGGGTGGCGTACAATACTGAAAGCACTCAAAAACAATATAAAAAGGAAGGAAGGAGCACTAAAACACCCAATTTAAAGATAAGCTATTCCATTAAGAGGCCCACCTGGTGGAAAAGGTAGGTAGGGACCGTGTGGATCTCAGTGGAGATGCTGCTACCTGGACTCCATTGAATGAAACTGTTTAAAGGAGGCACTCCAGCGCATGCTAATTCTGTTTGACAGTAAGGGCAGGCAGAAGCTCCAGAGATAAATGATCTCTCAGATAACCAAAAGCCCCTTGCCATTAAGAGTTTTGTAGCTGATCGTCACTATTTTGAATTGTATTTGGCAGCCAACTGGTAACCATTGCAGCTCATGACGCAGAGGAATTACATGATTGTGACATATATCATTTCCTGTGCCACTGCATTTTGGACCAACTGCAGTTTCAGAGGGGTAGCTCTGTGTAGCCTCCAGGTCCAAGAATGGGTGCAACTGATGCATAAGAGAGCTCTGTGTAAAGATCTCCTGGCCAAAGCTACACCCTGCTTTTCTGCGACAAGTATACAAGTCCAGCAAAGTCGAACACTTCCAAACAGAGGGACAGTCTGGACCAGATGGTCCAAATAACTGCAATTATTCAATTTTCCTTGGGTTGATCCGGAATCTGTTCCTCCCCATCCTGCCCCCCAAAGCCTCCTGCCACTGGGCCAAGGGTGAAAATATGTGTTCTCCAAATATGCATTCAGTTGCCCATCCTATTGAGATACACAGAATGCTGGACAAGGTGAATTGATTGATTGATTTGATTGATTTATTAAGTTTGTATGCCGCCCTATTCCCGAGAGACTCAGGGCGGCTCACAATAAAAAGGGAGGGGATACAAAAAATAAAATAAAAAGAACAATTTAAAATTCTACAACAGCCATAACCTCGAATGGGGCTGGATAATTCAACAGTCCCAGGCCTGCCAGAACAGCCAGGTCTTAACTGCTTTGCGGAAGGCTGGGAGGGTAGTAAGGGTCCGGATCTCCATGGGGAGATCGTTCCAGAGGGCCGGAGCAGCCACAGAAAAGGCCCTCCCCCGAGGATTCGCCAGCCAACATTGGCCAGCAGATGGAATTCGGAGGAGGCCTAGTCTGTGGGATCTGATA